CATGTCGACCATTGACTCGTAACTGGGGGAGAGGGAGGGGAAGTGTGTTTCTACGGTCCCCAGTTACATGTCGAACATCGACTCGCAACTCAAGCTGTGTGTCTTTTATTGTGGAACCTAGTTATAAGCCAACCATCGACTCGCAATTAAGGGAACATGTGTTTGTCGAGTGTCCCCAGTTGCATGTCAACCATCGACTCGCAAGTAGGTGTGTGTGTGTGTGTGTGTGTTGAGGGAACCCAGTTGTAAGTCATTCATCGACTCGCAACTGAGGGGAGGGGAGGGGAAGTGTGTTTCTATGGGTCCCTAGTTGCAAGTCAACAATCGACTCGCAACTAGGGGTTGTGTATGTTTGTCGAGGGCCCTTAGTTGCAAGTTAAGCATCGACTCGCAACTAGGGGGCGTTGTCAACGTGTGTTTGACGAGGGCCCCCACTTGCAAGTCAACTATCGATTCACAACTCAGGGTGTGTGTGTTTTCTTGTGGAACCTAGTTGCAAGCCGACCATCGACTCGCAACTATGGGGGGAGGGGGGTGTTTGTCGAGTATCCCCAGTTGCATGTTAACCATCGACTCGCAACTAAGGTGTGTGTTTGTCGAGTGTCTCCACATTTTTTTAAATACTCATGATTTTTTATCGTTTTCATATTTTTTTAATACAAATTCATGGAGATTTTCTTAAAATTATGTACTCTGTAAAAATCATGATTTAAAAATGTGTTTTATATAAAAGAAATGAACAATTTTTAAGTTCACAAACATTTTTTGTATTCGCTAATTTTTTCAATTTGTATGGAGTACAAGAAATACTAGGTTCAACACAGAAAAGAACAAAAACTAGGTGCACAGGCAACACATCAGTTCTTGCTTTTATTCCTGATCGAAAGAGTAGCAGCGAGATCTCTATCAATCGAAGCCAACATAAATAAAGCCCAGGTCGAGGGCCCAGGTCGAGGGATGGAAGTTGCTGGGTTGGACTGGAGATGCACAGCCTAACAAAAAAAAAATCAAAACAAACAAACAATAAGTCTGGGCAAGCTTGTTTTTCTATTGAGGTGAGGGTGATGTCATATTTAGATGTGACATAGTTAGAGCAACTTCATTGAGGCGACTCATTTCGTCCGCGGCCGTCCGTTTGAGTCGGTGCGGACAAAAAAGTCGGCCCAACACGTCGACCTAAACGGACGCATGTCCGCTTTCGTCCGCCTGCCGACCCATTCTCGACCCATTTTTGAGCCTGATTTACGTCGGTGCGGACACAAGACGGACGCACGCGCACTGGTCCTCTTTCCCAACCGGGCCCGCTAGTCGGTGGCACATTGAATTCACACCCTCACCTGCCTGCTACGTCGCCGACGCCGTCGGCCTTTTTTCAGATAAAAATGGATACATAGATAATTCTAGCATACACAGATAAAAAGAAAAGACCACTACTCGTCGATTTCTGACTCCGACTCGGTAATGTCCTCCTCCAATGTCTGAATGTAGGCGTCAGCGTATGCCTCGTCTTCAAAGTCCCAACCCGCCGTTTCTCGTAGCTTCAGTTTCAGTTGAGCTGCCTACTTCCGCGAACGCTTGTCCTCCCGATAGGCGGCTCGCTCGCTCCTCCTCGCGTCCCTCTCCGATCTCAATTGCTTGTAGAACTGACGCTCGTCGACGATGTCCTGCGGGAAGCCTCCGCGCCACACCACCAAGGCTTTCACGTCCTTCTCTACGATGGTGAGGCGAGCTGCCGCCTCCGGTGGACACGACGATCCTCGTCGGTGAAAAGCCGCGGGAGAGGCGCCAGATCCTGCGCCCGCTGGCTCGACACGTTGGGAAAATTCATATCCCGACGAGGCCTCAGGAGGCGCCACGCCGCCGCGTCGTGCGCGCCGGCCGCCTCCTCTGCGGTGTCAAAGGTGCCGAGGACGAGACGTTTCTCGCGAAACCAGATCTCAGCGGAGAAGGCGCCGGAACGGCGCTCGCGGACTCCGCGAAAATCCGAAGCCCTCAGGCGGCGGATCGACATGGTGACGCAGAGGCGGCGAGAGTGGGAGGCCGACAGCGTGTGGAGGGAGCGCCTTCTTTATAGCGAGCGCCGGCCGCGGCACGCGCGCGAACCTTTCCCGCGCGCTGGAGCGCCAAAACCAGCGCACGCTAGGCCGCTCCCCCCCTCCCCCTCCTCCCCGCGCTAGAGCGCCAAAACCAGGGCGACGACATGATGTTAAACGCGCGCGGTCATGAAATGTGTCGGCCCGTCGGGCGCACTGCCGACCCAAAACTAAAAAAGGGCGGACGGCCGATCCAAACGAACAAAAAACGAACAAAAACACCGTCCGTTTGAGTCGGCCCATTGAAGTTGCTCTTATGTCACATCTAGATAAGTCCTAGACACAACCTTTTTGATTTACTTGTGCTTTGCCCATCTATAGGCAGGACCAATCACGCCCTATTATTAGGGCGTGATGTAGTGAAATGGTCCATGAGAACCGAAAAAGAAAACTTTCCGTCCGGTTGTCTACAAAACCGGGCTAGAACAACAATACTTCCTCTATTTCAAAATATAGTGTGCCCGCGCTTATCGAGGTCGAATTTTGACTATATATTTAACGAACGAGACCGACTGTGGCGGGAGAAAAAATTACATAATTAAAAACTTCTTTCGAATACGCATTGACTGATATAACTTTTATTCCCGCTGTAATTGATCTTGGTAGTTAAATTTACGGTCAAAGTTGAAGCACGGAGATAGAGGAAACACTACATTGTGAAATGGAGGGGTACGTTGACTATATCTCCATCAGGGTTCACGTCAAGTCAGACGGACGACATCACTTTTCTAAGACAAAATCGCAAAGTGACAAAAATGGGACGATGCGAAGACAAGAACACTGCCGTGGCTGCTCCGCAGTCCGCACTCACAACGCCACACGATATATTATCCAGCCCAAGATTTCCAACTACTCCAGTATTTGTTCTCCGGCGGAAGGTGGATGTCTCCGTACGCCGTCCTCGCCGCCGTGCTTCTCGCCTTCTGCTACGCCGTCTGGAAGGCTCGAGGCGGCGGCGGCAGCAGCAGGCTCCCGCCCTCGCCGCCGTCGCGTCCGCTGCTCGGCCACCTCCACCTCCTGGGCCGGCTGCCGCACCGCTCCTTGCGCGAGCTGCACGCTCGGTACGGCACCGATGGCGGCCTCCTGCTCTTGCAGCTCGGGCGCAGGCGCACGCTGGTGGTGTCCACGGCGGCCGCCGCGGCGGACCTGTACAAGAACCACGACCTCGCCTTCGCCTCCCGCGTGCCCAGCGCGCCGGTGGACAAGCTCACGTACGGCTCCATCAACGTCTCCTTCTCGCCCTACGGCGACGCCTGGCGCCGCAGCAAGAAGATGGCCGTCGTCCACCTCCTCTCCCCGCGCCGCGTCGACTCGTTCGCCCCCGTGCGCGCCGTTGAGGTGGCCGCGCTCGTCGCCGGGGCACGCCGCGCCGCGGAGGCGGGGGAGATCGTGGAGCTGAGGGAGCTCCTCTGCGCCTACAGCAACGCGGTGGTTACCCGCGCGACGACCGGAGCCGCAGGGGCCACGGCGGAGAAGCTAAAAAAGCTTTTGGGTAACTCCGCAGCGTTCTTGTCGGGGCTCCAGGCGGAAGACGTGCTCCCCGGCGCGGCGGCGAAGGTTGTTAGGTGGGCGACGGGGCTCGAGAAGAGGCTGGACGCAGAGCTCCAACTGTGGGACAAGTTCCTATCGGAGACAATCGCCGAGCACCTTGAGAAGAAGAAGTGTGACGGGAGGGCAGGGGAGGATGACTTCCTGGACGTCCTGCTTCGGCTGAGGGAAGAAGGCACCGCCGGACTCGAGCTCACCGACGATCGCATCAAAAGCATCATCAAGGTTATCGTCAATCGATCACATAATTTCTTTGGTTTTAATTTCTCAGCAAAATGTTTAATATATTTTGTTCTTTGGTACTCTGGCCAATTCTTGGGTTGGGTGCGTGCAGGACATAATAGCCGCCGGAACAGACACATCGTCCGTCACGCTGGAATGGGCCATGGCGGAGCTGGTCGGGAACCCACCGGCAATGGCCAAGCTGCAGGACGAGATAAGCCGAGCCACCGAAGGCAAACCGAGCATCGAGGAAGACGACCTGAGAAGGATGGAGTACCTGAGGGCGGTGCTGAAGGAGGTGCTCCGGCTACACCCGGTGGCACCGCTCCTCGTCCCGCACCAATCGACCACGATGGCGGTCGTGCAGGGCTACGAGATCCCGGCCGAGACGGCGCTCTTCGTCAACGCCTGGGCGATCGGAAGGGACCCGGCGGCGTGGGGACCGACGGCGGAGGAGTTCCAGCCGGAGCGGTTCCTGGGCGGCGGCGGCGCTGAGGGCGTGGACCTACGGGGGAACGACTACCAGCTCCTCCCGTTCGGCGCGGGTCGGCGGCTCTGCCCCGGCATCGGTTTCGCGATGCCGGTGCTGGAGATGGCGCTCTCCAGCCTCGTGCGCCACTTCGACTGGGAACTCCCCGCCGGGGCGCGCCTGGACATGAGTGAGGCGCCGGGGCTGACCACGCCGCCGCTGGCTCCGCTGCGACTCGCCCCCAAGTGCAGGGGGCAGCAGTAGCAGTGCCACTACACTAGTTACTACTACTAGAAATAAAAGAGATGGGTCCCAGCCATGCAGTGTATTTGTGGGCATGTGATATTCTGATGTCTGTATAACGAGCCGTATCGCATCGTTTGTGGGCCAGTGGCCTATAGATTCTTCTGCCATGTACGTAGTACTGTTAGCCCAGGTTCTTTTTATTCCCCGTGTGGACGGCGATGTGCATAATTCATGCGTGAAGACACAATATCTGTTGCGCAAGATTTATTTGGCTGGTTTTTAATTAATCACGTGCAGATGTTTAGCCTGTTTGTTAATTACTCCCTCCGTTCCAAATTACTTGTCTTAGATTTGTCTAGATACGGAGGTATCTAGCACTAAAATAAGTCTAGATACATCCGTATCTAGACAAATCCAAGATAAGTAATTGTGAACGGAGGGAGTATATCGTACTGTACTATCAGACACGTTTTTTTCTGGGAGTTGCGCCATAAAGTGCTGTTGAAAAGATACGTACTAAAGTTACAGGGAGGCGGCCATATAGTTCTCTGGACCGTGTGCACGCTGCCAGAAAAGTTCTTAATGTTACTTGAGTCCCTGGCTTCCCAATTAATTGACCTGCAATAATACCTATGGCTTCTCCCAATTCGACCAGATCACTATAAGTAGGACTCCGGCCATAGCATAATTGACAGATCCAAAAAGTGCTTCGGCAAGTAAAGGGGGTTATAATATATATTGGTTGTGCTCGAAATGGTTGTGCTCGAAAGGCAGTTATGAATCGATTGATTAATCCAATTCCAATATCTTGATTTCGCGCGGCAATGCATCGTGAACCGATATATATATCGTCTGCTAATACACGACCAATTAGTGTTTGGACAAAAAGTTTTTCCGTCATCCCATTTTGAGGACTTACAGAAATACCTCGGATAGTACCACAATCTCTTCTACGCACAATAATATGTTGAACTACTTCAACAAGTCTACGTGTAAGATATCCAGCATCTGCTGTTCTTCTAAAAATGCCGAACCCAATCGTTGCATAAAAGTTCGTACCGTGCTTTTATGTTTACGAGCTAAAGTTCTAGCACATGAAAATCGAAGTATATACTTTAGTCGATACAAAGTCCGTTTTTTCGAAGATCCACTATGATAATGAAAAAGATTTCTACATATCCGACCAAATCAATCAAGAATATCCCAATTTGATAAATCTGTCCACATGCCGGCAAAAACGATAATCTTGACCTATGAACGAAAAGAATTTACAAAGTAAACTTTGGAAAAAAAATTCATCCAACTGATCCTTTTATGTAGCGCCCGACAGACAGGCGACATATCATATTATGCACCACCTGACTGATAGGCGTTACACGTCTCGTCAATATCATACTTAGAACTGCTTAAAAATTGCTAAGTCAATGTGCAATACCTAAAAAGTAGACACTACACTTCACAGTGTAACGCCTGTAGCATAGGCGCTGCACTAGTGGGCTTGCAAGAGTTCATACGCTAGCGTCCAAGCCGTTAACTCTAAACGATCCCCAAAGGCCGAAAAGGCTCATTATCACTGACAATGCATGGCTAGGAGAGGCACGACACGACAGTGCATGTACCTGCCCTGCTAATTCAGATTTCTTTTGGTTGACACGACAGTAATTTCTATGGCCAAGTTACCTACTACCAGCTACGTATAGGGCAGCCCATTTTATATGCATTTAGACAGTAGTCAGAGATTTTGAACAGGGTACCTAGCTAATCCCTGACACGCCCCTCATTCCATGGTACAGAATGAGACAAACTTTTGATGCGTGCAAGGCCACGCTTTAGGCGCTACACTATATAGCTCTTAGGTGTTGTACACTGACTTAGCAATTTTTAGTCAATTTGAAGTGCGACGCTGACAAGGTGTGTAACGCCTATCAATCAGGCGCTGCATAGTATAGTGTGGCATCTGACTGTCGGGCGCTACACAAAAAGGTCAGCTGGATGAATTTTTTTTATCAACAATTTATTTTGTAAATTCTTTTCATTCACAGGTCAAATTTGTTGTTTTTGCCCATGCCTATGCGCTACAGACTGTACAGTCTATGTGCATGCACTGACGCTACATCTACAGCACATCTGCATCCTCCTTGCTGATTCAAATTTTGAAGGCCACGCCTTTCTTGGAGTCAACGCAACAGATGGTTGTGGCCTGTGGGAGTACCGGTGTTTCAGGCTACGGACATTTTTCATTTCGTCTGCAGGGTAGCACACCGCCAAATTTGATGGCTGCAAAAATTAATTATCCCGCTATTATATTGTCAGCTGTGAGCGCAAAAGTTTACGTTGACAGATCCATAATTATTAGCATGAACAAAAATGTACTTCGTATTTTTTGCATTAAGTATGCTCATGCTGATCAGAACGTTCCTCATCTTGGCAAGTAATTTTTCTTTAAACAGTTCTTCATATTGTCTCACCGCAGAAACAAGCTAGGTAATGATAGATTCTCTCTTTTTTCTTTGCAAAGTTAAATCATGTTAGTAAAAAAGTTATGTAAATTTAATATATTTAATGACTATAAGTTCTTCATGTAATTTCAGTTAACAGTAGCAATGCCAAAGTTACTCAAAAGGTCAATGGAAATACTGCTTTCGCTCTAAAAAAATGTTACTCGAAAGCTTTTCGGGTATAATGGCAAAGTTCAGACACAACAATTTAAAAAAACAAAGTTTTATTGAGTTAAATATTTTTACTCCAAGTAAATTCAAAGAAATAACATGTTCATTTCCTAAGAGTATTGTACTCCTCATAAGGACTAGCATTCTTGAGCGATGCTATTATTACGTGCTGTTTTTACGAATATCTTACACACGTAATTCAAATCGCTGGTGGTTATTTTTTTCCTTTTCTGGACGGTTATTTTCTCTCTTAGGTATGTAAGTTTTATGTATGAATAGCATCTTTGTTATTTTTTTTACGCATGTGATGTACAATTTGTCCCGAGTCCGGCTAGCAATAGCAACAATTTTACCGGGGCCATGACTAGAAATATCATACAGTAAAAAAAAGGAAAAATAAGTCTGAAAATCAACGACTACAAATACTGAGTGACATGCATCAATATTTAGTTTATAAGAGGGTGAATTATTTCTATCAATAAAAAAATATTGACTGGCGTGCTGCAATTGTTGTCTTTTTCGAACATGTATGCATCTCGTGGCGAGGTTGCTGTTGTCGAAGTCTGAGGGTCGGAGAGCATATATGCCGCAATCAGGAATATAAAGTGTGCATCAATGGCGATATGTGATATATAGGGTTAGTATTCGAAAAGCCCAATGAAGGTTGTCAAGAAAATATTATATAAATGCCCTCTAGATGGACAACAACACTATAAGGACAACAACAATATAAGATGGGTAACAACGCTATATAAATACCCTCTACCAATATGAGTGCCAGAATCCGTTAGGAAAAGTGCTTATTATATGGCCATTAAGTCTAAAGTACTTCATCGTTGAAAACAAGGGAACTGCAACCAATAACATAAAGTCTGCAAGAACGGTGATATGGTAGACAATTATTGAGTCACTATTCAAAGTGCCCAATGCAAGTTGTTGACAATTGGTTATATAAAATGCCCACTATATGGATAGTAACATTGTAGGGAAAAGCTCTTCGTCGAAGACAAAATGAGTGTCAGAAAAGGTTATATGAAGTGCTCACGATATGGCCTCTAACTCTAAAGTTCTTCGTGGTAGAGGACAAGAGGCCCGCAACCTGCAATATAAAGTGCGCAAGAACGGTGATATGCTATACAAGATATAGTGTTATCAAGAGTGATTTTGTATGGTAATACCCGACAAATTGCTGAGTTACTATTCGAAGAGCCCCTGGAAGTTGCTAGGAATAGGTTATGTAAAATATCCACTATATGAAGTACTCAAAAGATAGCTTCTAATCTCCAAAGTTCTTCATGGTTAAGGACAAGAGGCATGCAATCAGGAATATAAAGTGCGCACCAACGGTGATATGTGATATAGGATTAGTTTCCGAAAAGCCGAATGGAAGTTGTCAAGAGAATATTATATAAACGCCCTCTGGATGGACAACAACACTATAAGGAAAAGTCCTTCGTCGAAGACCATATGAGTGCCAGAATCCGTTAGACAAAGTGCTTATTATATGACCATTAAATATAAAGTTCTTCCTTGTAACAAGGGAACCGTAACCAATAGCATAAAGTGCGCAAGAACGGTGATATGGTAAACAATTGTCGAGTCACTATTCGAAGTGCTTGATGGAAGTTGCCAAGAACGGGTTATATAAATTTCCCACTAAATGGCTAGTAACATTATAGGGAAACGCTCTTCGCCACGGACAAATGAGTGTCGGAAAAGGTTATATGAAGTGCTAACAATATGGCTTATATATCTAAAGTTCTTTGTGGTGGAGGACAAGAGGCCTGCAATCAGGAATATAAAGTGCGCATCAATGGTGATATGTGATATATGGTTAGTATCCGAAAAGCCAAATGAAAATTGTCAAGAAAGTGTTACATAAAATGCCCTCTAGATGGACAACGACAGTATAAGGAAAAGTCCTTCGTCGAAGACCATATGAGTGCCAGAATCTGTTAGATAAAGTGCTTATTATATGGCAAGAGATTGCGGAACACTTTTCTACAACTTGATGAGATGTACTTAATCTTGCACAATATTGTCGTGAAAAATGAAGAATAATCATGGATGATGAGATGAACTTAAATATTGCACAATCTGAACAAGGAGAAATTTACAGACTTGGGCAAAATGTACAACAAAGTTTCATATAAGTTGGACTTTTTTCTTACATAGCAGTAACATCAATAAATTTACAAATTGTTGCACGAAATGAGCAGAGAGAAGTTTACATACAATTACTCTATTGAACAACAAAAGTATTTTGCATCACTTTACAACAAAAGTCAATAAGTTTCTATGTCAGCAGCAACATATTCTAATCAGAACATCTTGTGAGTGACATCCACT